AGAGATATTGAGGCAGAGCGAGGTCACAGTCTGGATGAGGAGGAGGAGGAGGAGGACGGTGAAGTGGCCGGGAACAAAAACACACACACACAAAAAAAAAAAAAGGAGAATTGAGCCAAATTATAGGTTTTATCCGACCGCTGAGCACAAATGAATCGGGGGGGTGCTTCCTAACATCACACCAGACGAGCGTGAGAGGGCACGTTCTTGTGACATGCTAATTTATGGAGATGGCGTGCCTGCTCTGTTTTTTTGTTGCTTGGCACAGCAGAATTCGAATCCCTGATGTTGGCTCTGCAGAATCGACTGGTGACTGAAAAACTACCGAGCTACAGTTTGTAATTTCAGAGCTGGCCGAGACACGGCCTTATAGGGGCGAGAGATTTAATAATAAAAAATAAAAAAAGAAAGGGAGCGCTCCCGAAAGGATGAACAGAATCGACCAGACAACAAAAGGAAAGTGGAGTGTGTCCTCTAAACTAAACAGCAGGTAGCATCAATCTGTAACGACCCACTTCTTTTTCTGGGTCCAGGCTGTGGATCCATGTTTGTTGCTCGGACACAACGAGCCGGTGGGTTTTTTCGGTTTCTCGTCCTGAAAGCAGGACAACAGGACGTGGAGCAAATGCTTAATTATCTCGATGAATATTTCTACGATTAGAAATAGAGGAGAGGCTGTGTGAGAGGACACAGATGTCTGAGTGAGCTGCACAAAGCTGGACAAATAAAAAAATATCTGAGGATGAAGACGAGGAGCCACAGAAGAAGAAGACTCTAGAGCTTTTGGTGTCGGTGTCAATCAGCTGTGAAGAAAACAGTTTCTAGGAATCTGCAGTCCACATACTTGTGTTTGTGTATATAAACTAAAAGTCCCTCTTTGACCTTCGGACAGGAAGTCGTCCGGTCCCCCGGTATTCTGTGATAACCTGCAATATTCAAAAACAAACTTTTAATTCCATCAGCGCGGTGAAAGTTGATGAAACGTGAGCCGAGCGCGCTAATCAGAGTCTGCTGGGCGTCGAGTCCTATCAGTCAAACGAAGTGCATCGTATCACTGCTGTCAGAGGTGGACGACGGCGGCTCATCCCCTGATTTGTGATGAAAGTTCAACACGAGCTTTGATACGTCAGTGTAAGCCAAACGTAATCTCTGAAAAGTCCCCCTGTTCTAGGTCACCGTGAATTTTTAATTAAGGTTTCCTGTCGAGTTTGCAAACAGAATCACTCTGTGTGGGGTTTTTTTTAGTTTAATTACTTCTGTTTGGTTTTAAGCATTTTTTCTTTTTTCTTTCATCAGCAGAATATTTCATGGAACCCGCTCTTTATTCGGCTTTTAGCACAAATCTTTAGACCCAGTAATTGATGTGAAAGCCAACTGAGGTCAGGAGAAAATACATAACAGGAGGAATCCTTCCGTCTCGCTGTAGATTCTTGAGACGAGCGCCAGAGCGAGGCCGAGCTCGGTTGTGTAATGTTTGTGCAGCGTTGCAGCGCAGACGAGGTCATAAACTAAACTTTCTTTTATAGCTCTCGGTCTGTAACAAGTCTCATTGCGTCCCGTGTGAAAGAGCTGGATTTAGAGCGTGCTGGATGTCGAGGGTGGAAACTCTTGAAACTGGGCCACGGGGACGTTTGCATCACTGGTCAAACACAACAGCGGACTGTATTAGTTCTAATACAGCTGTGTGGCGCCGCGGGCCTGTTGATGTATTCCACTTCCAGTACTCTCTCTTGTTCCTGGTCTCCAACACCAGACTTTTCATTTGAACCAGTCGATGTAGAGTTTAATGAGTCAACAGTCTCCGTGGTGCGTTTGTTTCTGCCACGTTCATTTCGCTTCAGAGACGTCATCTGGACCCGTGCAGTCATCTGCTGCAGCTCACTCCGTGTTTGTTTGTTGGCACTTTTAATAGAATACACACATTTCTGCTTCTGCTCGACTTCTCCTCGACTTTAATCGAGAGCGCTGACGAATCTGCGTTATTTATTCTTTCTAAAAGTTGCGTAATGTTGCTCAGTGTTTTTAAATTTCATCTGTGGTCAAACGAGCCTGCTGCCTTTGACAGGTCTTTTCTCTTTCATTTTTAATTAAACTCCAGGCAGCGCTACACATATTTAAACGTCTTTCACACACCCTGCTTCGTACACACCCTCAGCTCTCTCTCTCCAGTACTTTACTGTATTTCTGCACTTCATTGCTTTGTGTCTCTTTTATTTTACTCGGCAGCTTTTCTTCTCTCGCTGTCTTTTGTTTTGTTCTCCTTAACAGGGATGTAGTGTTTCTCACAGCGGGGCTTTGGGATGCATTTGAGATGGACAGGGGTGAAATGGAAAGGTGTGTGTGTGTGTTTCTCTCCCCGCCTACCAGGAGAGGAGATTTGTCGTTCATCACGGGGGGGGGGGTTAGGAAGGGATTGAAAAAGACGGATAGACAGATCGAGCTCACAGTTAGCTGGAGGGGAGGAGGAGGCAAAGGTAGAGATGAAGAAATGATGCTTTTTCAACTACGTTCTGCTTGTAATTGTCGGATTTAACGTCATGTCGTCTTGTCTGCGTCCGTCCAAAGCAAACAAACGCTCGGCTCTGAATTCACTCATGGTGTGTGTGAGTGTGAGTGTGTGTGTGTGTGTGTGTTGTGTGTGTGTGTGTTTCTGCTGCAGTGGTCCTGCTTGTGTTCGGGTGAGTTGATTAAATCCATGGTGTAATGGGAAACAAATTATGGCTTGTGCAGCATGATGAGTTGAAGGGGGATAATTAGTATGTTCATCCACCTCTTTGAAGAGGTGTGTGTCTGTGTCTGTGTGTGTGTGTGTGTTTGTGTGTGTTTTTGTGTGTGTGTGTGTGTGTGTGTGTGTGCGTAGTGCCGTTTATGTCCCCATTTACTTATTGCTCTGCAGACGCCCCGCTGTGTATTTCACGGTGCAGTGAAATGTTATTCATGATTAGTTACTTGAGGCGTCGCCACCAGAGTCATCAGCTCTTGATCTGTCAGTGGCTCTAATCATCCAACACACACACACACACACACACACACACACACACACACACACATGCATCCAGATCATAGACTTCACAGAAACATGGATGCAGACTCTGGAAACATGAAGCTAACGGAGAAGTGCCTTGATTAAGTTACAAGAATCTCGTGTGATGACAGCAACAGTTGACAACAATGACTTCCAGGTGAACGGCGGCAGAGCGGACGTCGTCTTCGTGATTTAAAGTTTCGGCTTCTGAGTCCCTGAGAAAACGACTTTTCTAACACGACTCACTCGGCGTTCTTGTCTTTTTGTCCACAGACCTCGTGGTTGTAATTGAGGATGAATGCAAAGTGTGTGTGAAAAGTTAAAACATGTTAACGGAGGCGGCTCCACTCACAGAACATGTCAAACACCGTGACGTCTTTCAAATGCTCTCTCTGTTACACGTGACCCGGCGTTTGTTCTGGTTGTTCTTTTTGATTAACAGACGCCTCCATCTCTTCCTCTCTTCTTCTTTCTGCAGTGGTATAGGTAGAAACTGGCCGTGGGCTTCTGGCGGCAGCAGCATTCTGGCAGAGTACGGCACCCTGCACCTGGAGTTCATGCACCTCGGCCAGCTCTCTGGAAATCCTGAGTTTGCTCAGAAGGTAACAGAAACGCAGGATTTCCTCTTTTACTCCTGCAGAATTTAAAGATTTCTCGATTAAAATTCCCCCGTGTTTGCCTTTTACTTCCACCGTTTCTTCTTCTCATCAGGTAATGAACATCCGGAAAGTTCTCAACCGCCTGGACAAGCCTCAGGGGCTGTACCCCAACTACCTGAACCCCAACAGTGGCCAGTGGGGCCAACGTAAGTCCGCACCGTCTGCTGCTTTCTCTGCACATGTGAACATCTAACATATCGTGGCTCTTCAGGAGGACCACTGTCCTGTCGACCGAGATTCTTCTAAGATCCTCCACAAAAACACACAAACAGCAGGTTCATCTCAGCCTCTTCTCTCCAGATTTACGTTGTCCATGTGTTTTTGGGGAAGCTCCTCACAGCTCCATTTAATGCAAAGGAAGTAACGATGGGTTTGTCCTCTCCGTCTTTTTGCTCCTCCGCCGGTGAAGGGGCGTTAGAGGCTCACCCTTGTCATTTCCTGGGTATTTGCTTCTGTTCGAACAGGTGAAAGCGTCATGTGACATAATATTTACACAAACGTTAGTCAAGCCATTTTCCTTCTGTCGTATTCTCACATTTTCAGTTGCATTTCACTCAAGAGGTGGCTTCTGATTTTCCGCCGCAGTAATCAGAGGGAAACTTTCTGCCTGAACACGGAGTCATCAAGATGAAAATATCAGAGCGACTCCCTCTGGGTTAAAACCAACGTCGACTCAGAGTCTGATATCAGCAGCGTTAAACACATTTTGCATTTCCCACTTGAGTGTCACCAAGCTTCGGCCTCTTGGATCTTTTAAAGAAAACTGTGCCGTCACTTGTTCAGATGAAAACCAGGAGAGTGCTTCTGTCATCGGGATCATTATCATCGCTCCAGCGCCTCCAGCTCATGTTTTAAAGAAACTCCTTTTTCTTTAAGAACTTGTCCCCAATTATCATCGATTAATTAAACTTCACTTCTCTTCGTCTTCAGCTCTTCAAACAGCTCTTAAGTCCAATGACTCGTTTTAACTTCACTTTAAATCCAGAACTGAAACATATAGAAGAGATCAAGTCTTTTTTTTTTTAACAACAATTTAAACGATGATTTCTCAGATGTGAGTTCTTGCTGATTTTATGGTTGTGGCTAAAACCCAACCTCCTTGGCAGAGGAGCCAGTTATGTTAGGTTATACGCAGCTTATCGTTATTTACGGAGATTTATTTTGTTGTTTTACCGGCTTTAGAGCGTGAGAGCGTGCCGGACTAATGGTGCAGGGCGGCTGCAGCGTATTCAAACCTCCTCATCCCTCTTGTCGACTCACTTTACATTCCTGCAACCTGCTATTTTCCCAAATCACTGTCGAGCATTTTTCCCCTTCGCTCGCTCCACCATCAGCTCCCATCTCTTAATATCAGCGAGTGCACGTGTGTCACACAGTAACAGGATATAATTTCAAATCCATCATCAACCCGTGCAGCTGAACGGTTAATGATGATGAGGGGGACCGAGAGGTAAGGCTTTGAGGAAGAGGAGGGATTAGGGCAGTTAGAGAGATACTATAAAATGGAGACGTGTTGTGAGATGTAGTGTGGAAGAGGAATACACAGAGTTACGGTCTCTTGTAATGCCAGCTGTCATGTGTCGGAGGAAACTGTCAGCAGAGCTGGAGATAATGAAAATGACTCTGACAAGGAGCAGGAGTGGGGATGATATCAAAATCCATTTTTAAACTCATCCTTAACGCTTCTGTGAGTGATTTCCTTTCTACCACTGGAGAGCAGACGCTGGACTGGAGTCGCTTTATCAAAAGAGTAGTTGGGTCACAGGGGAGCTGGAACGAATCCCGGCTGACATCGGTTTACAACCCGGGACAGCTCGTGAGTCCATCACTGGGCCGTCCGCTTCTACGCCACGTGTCAAATGACAGCCCGGTATTCAGAGGTGCTTCGATGAACTCAAACACAACTTCAGAGGAATTCTTCTTCAGGCTAATTAGACCAATAACAAACTGACTCTGACTGACGCAAACAAAACAGTTTGGAATCATCACGTCCTCTGTATCGGAGGGAAAAGTCACATGGAGACGAGGAAACCTGAAAAACATGGAAAACTTCAGATTTGAAGTTAATGAAACATAATTATTTTTCACGCCTGATTATTCTTGCGCCCGTTTCTACCTTGAAGAGGTTTGATTCTTTCTTTTTTTTTATCTTAGGCACTAATTTAGAAAGCGTTTGATCCAGTTTTATAATCATTTGTATTTCCTCTGATATGTTTCTGAAGGTAAATTAGAAATATCGTCTGTGAAGGTTAAATACGAACCCTCACATCTGCTCTACTTTACTTTTTCCCGATGCATCAAAACACGGAACAAAACCCCAGACAGCACATCTGCAGTCACAACTGCTGGCATTTATCTGACACACGTTAAAAGAGCCGCTACCTGTGTCTTCATCCACGTAATTTATGCAAATGATGATATATTCAATCTGCTGAATAGAAACTTTCAACAACAGAAAAAAAAATAAAACGTCAGTGAGGGTTTTTCATCCAGAGAGAAATTATGCAACAGCGATGGGAATGCATTTGTTGAATAAATTATGACCTCGGGATGTTTGCTACCTAATGTTGAAAAATATCTCTCTCCCCCCCTCCACCGCAGCCTCCCTGCGATCCTCACCCCTTCTCTCACACACTCATGAAGGCACACGAGTGACTAAGCAGAAGGTTGATGGTTCGATTCCCCCTTTCCCCCAATGTGTGTGTGAAAAACTGCACTGTAAAGAACTTATAGTGGTCGTTTTCAACACTTATGTAAAATAAAAAAACATTTTCCCTTTGCTCGTGGAACGTTCATGTTCACGTCAGGAAGACACTCGCATGTTTCTGTCGCTGCCAGTCGGAGCTGTAGCTCATTAAAAACCTTTGTCGAGTCATTTGACCCGAGAGAGGAACTGCTAATTGTTTCCGTTCTCATCGCAGACAAAAGCCAGATGTTGGCAGATGTTAGTGGGGGGGTAATAGTTCACATCACTTCTCTGATTCTGGATCTGAAAAATGCTTAACTTGTAATTGTTCTTCTCGGCTGTTATTGAAGAGATGTTTGGCAGATCGCTCCCGCTCTATTTTCAGCTGGTGTCGTCTCTGTTCGGTTTCTCTGCCGCTCTCGCTCCTGGTTTGACGCTGAGCTCGTCGACAGCCGGCTCCTCTTAGCGCCCCGCGACCGAAGCATCTTCGCCAGCGGCCTCCTTTCTTTTCTCTTCGACGTGATTGCGGCTGACATTTAATCTCTGCACTCCACAAACAGGGCCGGACTCTGTTAATGACACATGCATATGGATGAGCCTCCGCTGACAATCAGCAGGGCGAGCGCAGGAGCACAGATCAGCTGGATGGACGCTCACCGACACACACACACACACACACACACACACACACACACACACACACACACACACACACACACTCGAGAATATTATCAGGTGTGTTTGCGTTATATCACACACACATATCCAGCCCTGCATAATGTGGTGATCGTCTTTGGATCGCAGTTGTAATCTGAACACGCAGATGTGAGTCTGTGTGAGTCTGTGTGCTTGTGTGTGCGTGTTTTAATCTTTGTTTATCTGTGTGTTGCAGATCATGTGTCTGTGGGTGGCCTGGGCGACAGTTTCTATGAGTACCTGCTCAAGGCCTGGCTGATGTCAGACAAGACTGATGAGGAAGGCAAGAAGATGTACTACGATGCCCTGCAGGTAACACACACACACACACACACACACACACACACACACAGACACACACACACACACAGACAAACAGAGTGTTTGAGGGCTGAGTCGACTCGTTGAGAGGCTGAGAAGTCATTGAATGACCAATAAATTGTTTGTTAGGTGAATTAATCATTTGAGTCATTTAACAAACAACCAAAACAATAATAATATGGAGCTAAGGACCTGTTCCAAATCCAATCAGTCAGTTGATCCACCACACGAGATGGAATAATACATTTATTCTCCGATGATCAGGAGCCTGATCGTGAGTTTGAAGAGATGCAAAGATGACGCCACAGGAAAAGTTTCACGTTTTTCACATTTGTGTAAAAAGAAAAGTACCGAGAGGAGCTGAGTGTCAGAACAACAACAGATCTCCTGTGGTGTAAACGTAGCCTCCCTCGTTTAAATCAAACCGCGGCGACACGCCGTATCGTTCTGAAACACCCCGGGGAGCAAATACATTACATGGCGACTAAAATACAGATTTAAACACGCAGGGATAGTTTACCCATAATCCCTCACAATCTTCAGGGACGACAGACGGGCTCTGGATGCATTTGTCAGGAAGACGATATCACTGCTGTCGTCAAAGGGTCATTATCCACAGAACATATGAGATGCTGCGGGTTTCAGGTTCATCCCTTCTTCACGATGTCTGTGACGAACTGTGTCGCGGGGCCGATCCCTTCAATGACTCGTTGTGTTTCCCAGGCGATAGAGACCAACCTGATGAGGAAGTCCAGCGGCGGGCTGACCTACATAGCGGAGTGGAAGGGCGGGCTCCTGGAGCACAAGATGGGTCACCTGACCTGTTTCGCGGGCGGCATGATGGCGCTGGGAGCCGACGGGGCGCCCAGCGACAAGACGGGCCATCAGATGGAGCTGGCCGCCGAGATCACCCGCACGTGTCACGAGTCGTACATCAGAACTGGTAAATTCCATTTGAACGTCACGTTCCCGTGTTCCAGACGTTCTCTCCTGCTGAGCTCCTCGTGTGTGAAAAGAATATTTCCCAGAGTTCATATCTGAAGACGGCTAACAGAAGTTATTTTTCGCTCCACTTGTATTCGAGGCTGTGAAGGATGTCGGGTTTTTACTCGCTCGCACTCGTCGCCCTTTCAGGCGGGAAAGTCCAATTATGGGAAATGGTTTAATTCTAATTTAAGTCTCATTTTAATCGCTTGCCTTAAGTCGACATTATGCAGGTTTTTATTTTTAATCTCCACTCGGATCATTTTTTTTATTTTTCTCTCTCAATCGAATCCGTCCCTGAGTCTAGTTGTGAGTCACTGTGTTTTAAATGCAGCTCTGGGAAATTTAATCATCACCGAGCTCTTAAATAGCTTCGTGTTCCGAGTGAACACTGACCTGAGCCCTGTGACGTCTTACTTCACCCCCCCCCCCCCCCGCAAAAAAAACACAAATAACATCAGATATTCTCTTTTCTTCTCGTCATCTTTATGCTGCAGCATTAAGATGTTTGTCTCCGGTGTTTTGTTTTTTTTTCATCCACCTCTTTTTCCCGCTGCAGCGATGAAGCTGGGTCCGGAGGCGTTTCGCTTCGATGGCGGCGTCGAGGCCATCGCCACGCGCCAGAATGAGAAATATTTCATCCTCCGTCCCGAGGTCATCGAAACCTACATGTACATGTGGAGGTTCACCCACGACCCCAAGTACAGAGAGTGGGGCTGGGAGGCTGTTCAGGTAAAATATGAGTTTCTGTGATATTTAATTTAACAGTAGCTCAGAGAGAAGCAAGAGGTTTCATTTCAAGAAGGTAGAAACAAATCAGGATGGAAAGAAAACAAACCATCCACTTATTCAGGTTATTTTTATATTCACCCGAAGCTTCAGTGATATTTTAAGCGCATTAATAGCTTGATTGATTTTCTGTCTTCCTGTTGTTCGTCTGTGTTGCCGTCTCTGGTTCAGGCCCTGGAGCAGCACTGTAGAATCGAAGGAGGCTACAGCGGCGTCAGAGACGTCTACGCTTCGTCTCCGAACCACGACGACGTGCAGCAGAGTTTCTACTTGGCCGAGACGCTCAAGTAAGACGCAGAAACTCTTTTATACGCACACCCTTCACTTTCGTCCTCTTATGATTGTGCTGTCGTTGCAGTTTTATGGAGGGACCGGAGCTCTGCCTCCCCCAAACTGTCAACACACACACACACACACACAAACGCACACAAACATAAAATACGATGTTTTCATTAATTCAGACGAGGCTCCGGAGAGCTGCGGAGGTCAGTGGCAAGGTCTCTCACACACTGAGCCTCCGAACCTCACCACATTAATTTGACAAATCACACAAACGCAACCGAACGAAGAATAAATGTCATTTTCAAATAATCCAAATGTTTGGGCCTTTAGTCGGCGCTCATCAAATCAATCAATTTGTCATTTCTCGTTAAATCCTCCGACGCTACACCTTCGATATGAAATATTTGATTTCCCAGAAGTAAATCTCTGATGTATTTTCAGTAAAAGAGTCGTTATCACAGATCTGCTCGTTCGCACGTGTGTTTCTCAGACTCTATTTAGAGAATGTCTTCAACTCACCATGGGCAGTTTCCACTTCTCACTTCCTCTCAACAGTCGCCTGACATTTCTACTTAACTGCCCTGTTGTGTGTGTCTGAGTGTGTGTGTGTGTGTGTGTTAATGTGTGAAGCCACAAACGGCTCTTTAAACGTGTTGTCAGCCGCACAGTGTGATGTCTGTGGCTAATAGGGCTCCTCCTCAGATGGCTCTCCATCTGTGTTCAGCAAGTCGCTCTGTTTAAACCACAAGCAAAGTGTGTGCGCGTGTGCAGAGGAGGAAATCCCACTTTTAAATTCATTTTACGTTTAAAACCACAACCACGTGTAATTCTGCCTTTAACTAAAGGAATGTCAGTGACTTGATTCACTTAATTATACGATAAGGAAACTTTCAATATCATTAAATTAGAACATTTCACTCTTTAAAATCCCCAAATGTGAAAACTTTGGATCCACGATGGACATGAAATCGATTTTAAACTAGAGGGCTGCTCGGAGAGTGCACGCCTCCCTCAAAGCTGACGCCTTCATCCACTTCCTCCTTGTCTCATGCTCCGTATCACTCAGTGGATCACAAAAATACAAATAAGTTCTCCCTCGACCCGTGTTCCACCCGTCCACCAAACTTTGTGGAAATCAGTTTTTGTATTTTTGTATTTATCGTGCTCTCTGTTTCCTTTACCTCCGTCTACATCTTTACAGCCTCCATCTCTTCCTCGTCTTCCCCTCCTCTTCCTCGTCTTCATTCTCTCCCGCACCAGGCAGCCGTTTACAGGAAGTCAAGGTTAGGCTAACAGAGCCTGATGGGGGGGGCGAGCCGCCATCCAATCCAGCTTTTTTATAGGCTGTAAATTTTAACTCACGTCACCTCTATTCCTGATTAACACACACACGCACGCACACGCACACACACACACACACACAGTGAGATGTCTGGATTCCGTTTGCAATCTGTGTTGACCTGAGGATCACAAAGTCATTAAAGTGCGAGATTATTTTTGTAGATGTGATTAAAATGTTCTGAGGAAGCGTTGAAAAAAAAATAAGAAAATGAAAATATCTCATTAGCATCATCTCGTACGAAAATCCCTCGGCAGACGATAAATCCACAGACAGGAAGACGAAGGTGATTGATGAGCGGCCTGGACGGAAGCTCATAGTTTCCTCATCTGTCATATCCCATGATGCCACAGTGCGACCTCCCCGCACACAGAGGATATTGATCCCATTTAGCAGCGAAGCCTCAAGTCTTGTCTCTCAAATGTTTCTCTGGGAATTTGGCATCGAGCAGAACCACGTCCTGTTTTCATCTCCTCTCCGCTGCCAAGGACACGGACGTACTTCACACGGCCGCCGGCCGTCAATCACTTACTGCTCTCTACGCATCGGAGGAGGAGGAGGAGGAGGAGGAGGAGGAGGAGGAGGTGTGGTTGACGGCTTCTCGTACATCGAGTTTCTCATCTGAATTATTTACTCATTTTCTTAAACTGTTTCATAAAACCTGACGACATCGAGCCGCGGGATTAAATCACCTCGCGTTTGGTGTGAAGCCACGCCCTCTCCTCGCTCCCAGGCCCGCATCTGTTTCATCGCTGCTCCTCTGGCATCGAACGGTGTGAAGCCCGCACGTTTAAAAACACACGAGGACGAGAAGAGTGGAGGCGTGCTGGTTTAATTAAAACAATGTTCACCCACAAGACTTCAACTCGTTTTACCTCGTTTCTGATGAAATCAGATCAAAATCAGTCACCGGGAAAAAAAACATCACACAAATCTGTGAGGTCGCGTGAATCAAGTGGCATTGTGGGTAACGTAGGCTCCAGAAAGCAGAGAAAGAGCAAAATGTTTTTTTCTGAGTGAGGTAATAAATCAACGTTCCGGACCATGAACGTGAGCAGCGTCAGATAGATGAAGACTCCCATGATCCCGCGCTGCTTCACGACATCATCCAACCAGGTCTAATGTTCATTGTTTTGATTGACAGACCTCGAGCGGGCGGAGTCACGACGTGTTTTAAACACGCGTTCATTGTTTAATTGGTTTCTCTCTCTCTCTCTCTCTCTCTCTCTCTCTCCGGCAGGTATCTCTACCTGCTGTTCTCTGACGACGACCACCTACCGTTCGACCACTGGGTCTTCAACACCGAGGCCCACCCCCTGCCCATCATCAGGAAGGACAAAACAGAAATACCCAACGAGGTGGAGTAGTGGGCCGTCCTCCGCTGACTCCTCCCAGTTGAAAACAGAAAAAAAACAAGTGCGAGAACCTCTGATCCTGTAAACCTGAGCCTCCAGCTGGAGTCACTGTCCGACGCCCCTCGATCGGATTTCACTTTTTATTTTTAACGGGATCTGAACTGAATTCAAGCGCGTTGGAGCTGAGTTCTCGCTGTCGAGTCCAGTTTTGTTGTTGTGTTTTGTTTTTCTTAATTTCGAGCTCCGACGCTGACGCGGGCTGACGCGTGAACTGTCGGATGAAGCGCCAACTTGAGCGGAATCGTCCCGGGATGAGTTTAAAAAGGACGATGTGGTAAATGACAGGATGACGCAGCGATTATCCTCAGACTGTTAGTTTTTAATTCTTTGATTATCAAAGTTGTTCTTTCTGAAGATGTTATTAGATTTTTCATTTATCGCGTTTTTTTGCGGCTCATTCAGTCCGACTTTATGACCAATTGTCACGTGACGCGTCAGTCGTCGTGTTGTCAGCGGACGCAGCACGGTTTGTTTTACGTGAAGGAGAAAACTGACGGGACGTGAACCTGGACACAGAGGACGCTGGGTTTTTTTTTTTGGGAGCTGAACCCAGAAAGACTCCGGCTTTTGTTTTCCTGTCTGCTGGTTTCCTTATCTGAAGAGGAACCATCGCCGTCACCACCACCCGACTTTCGCATCGTCTCCTTGTTTTTTTTTTGTTTTTTTTTAAACACGTGGTTGTTTCAGCGTGGGAGTAAAGACGCAGCACAACCCGAGCCTCTTTTTATAAACTGTCTGCTTCCCACCCATCTGACTGCCTCCCTCCCTCCCTCCTCCCTCCGAGTCTGTTGGACGCAGGACGAGCGGCCGACCTGTCAGTGATTCCCCACCCCCCCCCCCCCCCCCCCCCCCCCCCCCCCCCCTTCACACAAAGCCGGTCCCCCGCTTCTGCTCATCTCGTCCTCAGTTCGGTTGGAGTCTTGGATTTATTTCTCCTTCCTCACGTTTGAGCCAACGTNCCCCCCCCCCCTCCCCACCCCCAGGACGTTCACACAAAGCCGGTCCCCCGCTTCTGCTCATCTCGTCCTCAGTTCGGTTGGAGTCTTGGATTTATTTCTCCTTCCTCACGTTTGAGCCAACGTCTCTGAGGTTTGACCGATGACAGAAACCTCCAAACTGTTTCTGGAGCTCTGAGGTTGATTTTCTTCCGTTAGAGTCTTGACACTGAACAAACTCCCTCTGGAACGGTTAACGTCTCTAAATCTAAATATTTCAGTTGATAGTATTTGTACGATCTGATTGGAGGTTCAGTGGTGAAATCAGTATCGGTCAGACCTTCTTCTTCTCGTCTCTGTCTTCATTCCAGCGTAGAACCGGCTGCAGGATCTTCTCTCCTCTGTGAGGAGACGCAGACGCTCGACTGTAATATTTCACCTGCACACACACACACACACACACACACACGCACACACCAGACTGATTCAATACAGCCTTGCCATTCCGTTGTTACCCTCCTCATCCTCCAGAGGTCGACTGATCGCGCTCACCCGACATTTCTTTTGGTATTTTTACGGTAACGTTCCCTCCAGACGCCGCACAGAACTGTAGCCAGATTAAATCAGTTTTAGTCTTCGACTTAGTGCCTTCACTGTTGATGAGGAGAGAGAGACGGCTCAAACACACACACACACACTCACACACACACACACACACACACACACACACACACACACAGAGAGGAGAGGAGCTTGAAAACGTAGCTTTAAGTGACGTTCCCACGCTTCACAGGAGGAGTAAACCAAAACTAGAACCCGGATAAAAGGATCGGTCTCAGTTTTTTTTTATTTTATTCTGATGTTCAGTGGAAACTGAGGTAATAAATCAGCACAAGAGACGTTGGAAACGTCTCAGACGAAGATGAGACGAGCGCAGGTTCGTCTGAGGATCCGTCTCAAACAGGTTGAATCACTGAAGCACCAGGATTCTGTCTCCCAGACGCCAAGCATCGTTTATACCACAGGCTGGCTCACACTGACATCTAGTGGTGAGAGTGAGTTATTACACTGCACCTGAGACCTGGGCTTTATGACTCGTTCATATTTATATCAGAGTTTTTATTTTATTTTTAGCTTTAGACACAAAAACAAGCAAATTTGAACCTCGGTCACTCGTTTGCTGCTCGTGAGAGAAATGATGACCTGGATCTTTAAATTCATATTTTGCTCCTTCAAATGTTTAGTTCTGGTTTTTATCAATTTGAGTTTTTTAATTTTGTTTATTTGAACCATAATCTGTAGATAAATATGGACGACACATCTCCTCTTCCTCCCGCTATCCAGAAATGAAGCTGAAGTGTCTCAGGTACGAATCTCATGCAGCCGTCAGTTCAAATAGCGAGTTACTCTCAGCTGTCCTACCCTTAGTTTGGTCCATGTCCCATCCATTAACATTGTAAAGGCAGGATGTATGAGCAATGCTGCAGCCAGCCACCAGGCGGCGATCAGGATGCTTTGGCTTCACTTTTCGGGAGCTGTCGTGTCGTCCATCTTTACAAACAGCAGAAACGTGCCGGGTCCTCCTCTTCTTCATGAGCTTTAATAAAAGTTCGGGTCGTCACTGTGAGATCCGACCGACGAGAAAGTTCAAACTACAGAACACTCACGAGGAACATTTGTTTATTTTTGGTTCTATCGACTGAACCGAGCGACAGCTCAGCTCAGATGTGTCGAGCAGCAGAACAACACCGACAAGTCCAACACATTTTTTAACGTCCACGCGTTCAAAGAGTCTCCGTTTCAGAAAAGACGCTGATGACAGATTTATCTCAGAAGCTGAAAGAAATGAAAAGTAAAGTTGGAAACTTTAGATTTAAAAACTTTTCCTCAAAACCAAAAACAACAATGAGCCGTTGTCACGTAACGACCGACACAGACATATCAGTCCGTCACTTTCCCGATGAGTTGACTTCCTGAGCCGTGAGCAGATTCTTTATCTCTCTGTACAGACGACCGCGTGTTTCAGGCATTTTGTTCTTTGACCCATGTGATGGTTTGTTGTGCTGGTGGATTTTTTTTTTTTTTTTTTTTTGCCTGTGTTAATTTATTCTGTAGTAGTGAACATAGAACTCAGAGGTGTTGGGATGTGACCCCCAGGTGGCGCCGTGGGCTCAGTGTGTCAGAAAACACCTTTAAAACAACACCGCGTACCAGAGTTTTTGAGGTGGAAATTACCCATAATCCTCGATAGTGTTGCTTTAAAGGTTATTTCACATTTATCTGCCCAAAAAAAAAAAAAAAAAAAAAAACATCTTGAGCCGATCATCTGTGAAGCTTCCACCGTCATCTTACAATCACTTAACGATGTTTTTATAAAATGCTCGGCTTCGCGGCAGAAGGAATCTTAGAGGAAGCACCTGGGAGTGAGAGGAACAACCTGTACAGGAGGATAGGAGCCGAATGAATGTACGATCCAATGTGAAGTGAAGAATATTTTATATGTCTCTGTCAATTCACGTCTCTTGTGCTTTGATGTCTTTTATTTTGTTGTTTTTCTTCTTTTTATCTCGTAAAGCACAAACAGTGACGCAGGTTCGTTTGTAGAATGACAGGAAACGATTTTGTTGTTTAGTTCTGACGCTGCGACGAGCAGCCGTTACTGTAGGAAATGATCCAAATCAGACATGTTTGGGTTTGTCGGGGGGTTTTTTTCAGCGTCGTGGCGTAAACCAAGTGGATGTGAGTGTTAATCGTACGGTGAAGTGTTAACGTACCGAAGCTGCTCGACGGGAATTCAGAGGAAAAGGAGACAAACGAGAATCTTTCCTTTCAGATTCTGCGATGGTTGAAAATTTTAAAATCAAGGATATTTAAGTTTCTGATGATGAAACTGAAGAGTTCAGGGTCGTTCTGGTTTAATTTGTAGTTTGTTCACTTGACAAGTTAAGATGTTTGTTTGTTTTTTATCTTATTGGCTCAAAGTAAATTGTTTGTGAAGTGGCTCAGACACATGTTTAGTTTCATTTCAATTTCAAAAAGAGGAAAGTTTGGAGTAACTTTTCCTTTTCCAGCCTCAGAGTTAACGTTAAAGCGCCGTAAGATTTATACAAATTAAGTAACTTTTGTTTGTAATGATTTGAAATGGAGAGAAAAAGCAAAAAAAATTGTCCCAACCAGAGGATCATGGGAGTTTAAAAATAAAAATGATTAAGAACGATCAGAAAAGATCAAATCGATTAATATATTCGTGTTCGTGTCTTCAGATTTCTGACCCAGGACAAACAAACACTCACACACACACTTTGACTGTCGTTCATTTTTAATTAAACTACGGATACGCTCTCGAGTCGCCCTCTGGTGGTAGCATTCATTTCTTCGTCTTGAAACCTCCACACAGAACAACGTTTAACTTCTGATTTGATTTGAGTTTGTTAACTCTGATGACGTCTGTCGTACACGGTGGAGGGTTTCATGTCGTCATCTTTTCGCCGTGGTGACTGTGGTGGTTGAAGTCTTAAGCATTTTACCAAAGTCTGTTCACGAGTATTTGAACGGACCGGATCGAGGGTGTAGGTTTACAGTCTCCGTCCCCGTGTGGAGAGTTGTTCGTACAATTCTGCAGAACATTTCAGAATTAAAGTCTCGTAAACGTGCCCCCGTATTTAAGAAGCGGCGACGGACAGAAACGGTTTCGACTTATTCGGAATTAAAGGGCTGATTTACTGCGTTTCCCAGAAGTCAGAATCTTTACGCTCCACATGGACTTATCTCCTGGAGTATTTATTTTTTCCTGTGTGTCACTTCCTGAACAGACAGGAAGTGCCGAACGTAGGCGATCATGCTTCGGCTTCACACTGTCGGACATCAGGCACCTGGTCGTTCTCTTGTTCTCGTCTTTGGTGATTTTTACTAAATATTGTGTTTTAACGATCTGTTGCGTTCGGTGAAGGTTAAAGGGCAATGCCGTCCATTTTAGGAATTCCCTAGTTTAAAATGCTCCACTTTTCCTTTAAGAAACTAAAGATTAAGTAAAACTGACGTGTCCTCAAACAATCTTGATTCTTAAAATGTTTGGCATTTTACTTTAAAAAGGTTTAAACGTGAGAAACAACCTCAGAAATGTATCTGTACAAAATATTGCTGATAATCATTCCATTGCACATAGTTTACTT